ATCATCCTTCTTCTCAAAGGAACTTGGATTGGATGATGGCGCTGTAGCCCCAACAGGGCGAGCAGTGTGTTTATGCTGCAAGACGCAGCGTCCGCTTTTCGTGGCACCACTCCAAATAACCGGCCTCCTGGATGGGTTCACGCGTTTTGCGTGGGTTCCTATGTCCAACAGACCGGGCTGCGAGTGCGCGCCTTGACAAGATTGAGTGAAATCAGCAAGCGCTCAGAAGCTTCCAGTAGCAGCAGCAAAAGTGCCCCTGTAAATAGTGAAGTGTGCCAAGCTGTTGCTGAAATTTTGACAGCGCTGCAGCGGCGCCGCTAGAGGTCTCCAGAGCATTTTGCTTTGACAAACGCAGTGGCGAGACGCGCAGAAGTGGGCCTGCGAGTCCAGGAAAGTATTTGATTTGATTAGGGTTGTGCGTCAGCCTTTGGGTCACCCCACACGCGCTGCCTAGCTTCGGTAACAGTGACGGGAGTGCCGCGGGTATGAAGCCATTTTTGACTTAAGTGTGCAGTGGCCATCGTGTCTTGCCCAGGAGTGGCCTTCCGCTAATGCTTTGGGCGACAAGCTTGCTCCCCTTTGCGAATATCTTGAGCGGGCCAAGATGAGCAAGAACGACCCGGTCCCTAACTCCAGATGCCAGAGTCGCTGTCCTCAGCAGCAGTAGCTTAGACAGACGGCTAATGACTAGCGCACTGCACTAGCAAGGTCAGCAAGATCTTAACTCAAGTGGTCCATTTCACCACTCTCTTTGCAGCACCGCGCTTCAATTCCGTGAGCAGAATCCGGAAGCCAGTCGGTGAAAACCAAGCTGCGTGCGTGCCTTAAGTTAGTTTGTTTTGCAGTGGTTCTTGCATCAATCATTGCGCAGAACCGCATCATGCGTCTGCAGGCATGATATTGCTTTGCAGTAGAGTTCTTGTGACCCCTGCCCGTGCAACTTTGTTGCTGTTTCAGACATGTGACACGCAGCGTGAAGTAAGTAGACCGTGCAACACATTCTCATTCGTGCCACCTCTGCGTATAACAACTTGTCTCCTCAACGACGGGGAGGAGATTGGCTTAGGCCTCATTCACGGGTATCGGATGGACAAGGTCATTCTGGAGCAACTTGTTGGGAATGTTCGGGGTGTCAGTTAGTTAAAGGTCTTGGACAGCGTGCTGCGCAGTGACTCCATTGCAGCCATTGCATGTTTCCTGTTCCCACATGTTGTACTAGATTTCAGCATTCCTTCCTTTTTATGATACGACAAGTTTGCTCAGACGCAGCGTGGTGTTTTTGTTGCAACTTGCAGCTGTATTGCTTGGAAAGGTCAAGCCATTTTGGGCTTCCGCAGTCGCGGAAGCGGGTCTATGTCATATTGATCAGAGAGGACCTGATCGATGATGACGGTTTGCAAGTTCTGAAGAGAATCATCTCCCAGGACTTGCCTGCTCGACTGACACCTCGTGTCACTATGCAGCAGATCAGGGAGTACAACAGTGAGACCGTGGAAGCTTTCGAGCTGGCCCCCCGCACGCCAAATCCCTCGAGGGACACTTAGTTGGTTTCAGAGGCTGTGCAAGGAGACGGTGAATCCATTATAGTGGGAATGTTGAATGGTCCTTTTGTCAGTGCGACAGGAGGCAGGCAGGCAGGTAGGAGGCGGTAAACAGTAAACGGTAAGCTTTTGCTACTGCCCCCACACTTTAACAGTTGGGTATGATATAGTCTATTTGTATATATACCCCTCTGACCCTATGACTCTATGACCCCTAAGGCCCCCCTAGTTTAAACTGTTAAAAAGTGGGGGCAGTGGCCAAGGTAAACGGGCCAAGAGAATAGTTCAGAATAGGGGTGTATCAAGTGCAGTGGGCAAGGTTGGGTGATGCATTTGCATAAGCCCGATATGGTAGCCTAGAACCTCCACAAGGGTCGAACTACGAGGGCGACGACGGCCGATCAGGGTCGATGGCTCCGGGTCGTTACGGGTGTGACAGGTGAGGGGCTGTGACGAGGGGATCTTCGCATCTAGCGGTTGGCAGTTTATATATAGCTTCTGAATTTTATATATAGCTTCTGAGATTTATATATAGCTTCTGTGCTTCTGAGAAGTCTTTGCACTCTGGGTGAACAGCAGGGCTCCGGTTTCGCGACGGGTTAGGCGCGTTCGGGGCCTACCAGGATGGACGAATCTCCGCGATGGGGGCGCAGAAGATTGCCGATCTGAAGCGCAACGTGGGCGCGGTGTGTTCCCCCTATTTGGGCAGTCTATCCCAGGAGGTAGCAGACCGCTTCAACAAAAGGGAGAAGGATAGCCTGGAGATTCAGCACGCTGTGCTCAAGGCGCCTTGCCTGATTTGCAGGTAAGTTATCAAAGTCAAGTCAAGTCAAGTCAGTCAATTTGGCCATAACCCTCAAGGCCTCAAGGCGGGTGCTTAAGCAAAACCGCTTATCATTCGGATTCCGATTCATCAGCACTGAATCATCGAATCAGATTCATCATTCATATTCTGAACCACAGGGTAGACGCAAATGCTGTCCATATCTGTCCATTCTTCAACTTCAGCTCATTGTTAAGTAGCAATAAGGCAATAAGTTGTATTTTAACAGAGCACATAGAATTCTTGTAGAATTTAATGAATCAAAAACATTTTTCATAAAATCCGAAGATAAAGTTGGCCAAGCGAAGTTTATAAATAGTCCGGAACCGCTTCCAGCCGTTTGAAGCCTTTTCTCGATATATAGTCGGAGACCGCTTCAAGCCGCTTCCAGCTATATGTAACCCAAAACCACATATAGTTTCAAATAGCTTCAAATAGCTTCAAATAGTTCCTGGCCCAGGGGGCGGTTATAAATAGCTTCGAACCGCTTCAAACCGCTTCCCGCCACATGTCAATAAATAGTCCGGAACCGCTTCCAGCCGCTTCCCGCTTTTTGTAAAGGATTTGGAAATGTAAAACATATATCATATCATATAACATATATCATATATCATATATCTTTATCACCATCATATAATCATATAGTTAAATTCATGATTCATGTATTATCATAGCATATCATCCACACCACATCACATCATACTCGACCATGATTCGTGGTTCATGATTCATGTTCTATGATTTATGATTTCATGATCATAAGTTCACCAAGTCGCAAGAGTCCGCAAGAGTAAAAGTAATAGCATCATCATATCATAACTGTAGTGATATGATATGATGTGACCTTAAAACTGAAGAGATAACATTACCTCATGAGTCATGACTCATGTCTCGTTCATACATACAACAACTTTTTCCTCTAATTTAGTATTGAATTTACCGTTACCTAATTTACCGCATACGATCTGCTTGACTTCATATGACAACAGAACAATGGTAACAAGGTAAGGCCAGAAAGGTGATAAATCATGTCAGTCAGTTTGGCGCAGTGGTTTTCTTTGGTCCATTATTAGATGGCCGCTAGGTGGATCTATTGTAATTATTGGGGTCTGTTTTTAGTATTTGGTGTCTATTTGTGAGGTCTATTTGGTGTCTTTGCGAGCAGTTAAAATTTAACTGCTCGGTTTACTACACTGTCTGGGCTCTATTTGCGGACAGTTTGGGGCCATGGCCATGACAATGATAATTTCATTTTAATGAATAAGCTAAAATAAAAAGGAATTAGTAGTGAGTCAGTAATGAGCCCATGCATTTCTAAGTGCTGCTTTCACTGCTTTGACATTGTGGGCAGTCTTTGTGCCAGGATACATTATGACAAATTGTCACACTGTTCACTGCTCTTTGAAAGCGCGCTGTGCCCTGAGCAAGGCGCGGGGTATCGATGCAGCTGCGCGTTTTTGCAACACTGATTTGGCAAGCAGCTTGGCGGCAGCAATGCTGAGCGTGGCCGAAGTTATTGTCAGATTCCGCAATAGTTGCAGTGTGATTGTTACATGATGCCATATCAGGGTCAGCTGCGCGTCACCACATTGGTCTGGACGGGTTCATGTCTGCTGTCACGAAGCACGCGAAGATCTGGGACTTCGCATCCAAAGAGTTTTTTTCTGCAGAGGACTGGAGGGTGACGGCAAGCACTGCTTCTTGTTGTTGTGGTTGTTGCGGCTATGGTTTTGTTGTTGTTGTTGTTGTCGTCGTCGTCGCTGCTGCTGTGTTTTCGTCTTGGTCTCTTGCAAGGGCTCGGCGCCAGTCACAGTTCAGCCAACCGAAGCTGCTGGACTCAAACTGACAACTTCATGTTGAGATGGATGTTCTTTCAGCCAAAATTTTGGCCATGGAGTGCGAGCTGCAAGCCATGAGGCAGGAGATAGCGCGTTTGCACCAAAGATTCAGGCAGCTGGATGACGGACTCGCGCACGGGCGCAATATGCTTAACGAGGTCAGCCGCAAGACCCAGACTTTACGTTTCACACTGGACTCCCTGATCTAGTACTTGACACAGGCCTACAGCCAAGTCCAGCATGGCCTGAGGGCAAGATTTTGAACAGTTTAGGACCACGTTTTCATGACTGGCCAAGCGCTCGTGGTCTTGAGCTTGGGAGAAATTTCTTGGCCAAAACTTACGGCCCAGCAAGATTTCATGTACAGATGACAAGGACAAGATGTGACATGCGCATTTGCCAGCATCCCCAACAGCAAAAGCAAGGGGCATGTAAACTGCTCGATGCCGCATGCTTTTGTGATGTCAGACATCAGAATCATTGACATCATTACATTACATCATGAATCATGGCACGGTTGGAGCTCCTGTTATTTATTCCTATTGTGGAAATCATGTTTTCTGAAGGACCTGTTGGCCGCCCAGGGATACGACCTGCACTACTTGAACTTGACGCAGTTTGCGGATAAGTTCACCTACAGTGACTTGAACCAGTTGGCAGGCAGGGACAGGTAGGGGGTGTTCCTGGCACAACAAGTAATCAGTAGTTAGTAGACAGTAGACGTCGTCATTTCAAGTCTCAAGTTGACATTGATGGGCTGCAGGCTGCCGGGTGAGTCAGTACAGTATCAGTATCAGCATGAACTTTTTCCCCAAATACTTGGGCCCAGGAGACGCGTGGTCAGTTCCGGTTGCCGCTGCAGTGATCTTTCCCCTGATTTGCTTTGTGTTGCCACTCAAGTCTGAGAAGCCCCTTCTGAACTTGAAGAAGGTGGCCCTTGTGGCGGCCAGTGGCCCAGACGTGGAGGCTACTCCAGCTGACATGACCCAGGGCGCTTCAGCAATATCGGGCTCGTCGAGCTCTTTTGAGATGGTGGACATGGGCATGGCATCTTTGGAGTTGTGCTTCAAAGCGACAGAGGAGTTGCTGCGCAGCCACTGTGGCAACATGGTTGAGGTAGGCAGTGTAGCCATTTCCGCAGAGTGGCAGGGCGGAGTTGTGTTGCACGCAAGTTGCTCTGCCGACCTCCTCGCAAGGCTGGTTGAGCTAGAGTGGGCGGCTGCCCTTGACTTGAAGCCATCAATCAATGAGATCGTCGAAGAGTTGTGGGCTTTGCAAGAAGCCGCTCCGAGTGAGCCCGACTCAGAAGCGACTCTTGTTTTGAACGGTCGCGAGAGCAGGACCCGTGATCCCCTAGCCCTAGCATCATATCATTGCACGACAGGGCGCCCCAGGGCTCCGGGCCCGAAGGCCTACCGTAGGATGTAGGATTCGGATCCTTGGACAATTTTGTTGCTCGTGTTGAGGGGCTTCAGATCTTACGATTTTAGTGACACCCAGCCAGCAGCTAATGCAAATTGTCTGCTGGCCTGCTGTGTTGCCCAGTGGTTCTGATTTCCGCTGGCGCATGATGCGAGAGGAAAGGGCGCAAGAGGATGCATGGGTTGCGCTCTTGTTGTTTAGAGGTGCTGACCCCTGACGTGGTTGCCGTTGCTCGCTTGTGTGTGCCAACTTCAGACATTATCATTTAGGCATTTTGTCAAGCAACAGCAGTGAGTGCCACTGCGTGTGTTTGTGTGTCTAGGGCAGAGCACGGGGCTCGCCTGGACAAAATCGCCACATGCCTCCAAAGAAAGAAGCAGTGACCCAGAGAAGGGGCAGGATGTCCCTGCTCAGAAGGAGCAGCTTGACCTGGCCAAGCTGGGCTTGGACACGTCCACTATTGACTGGTCTACGGCATTAGTCCCTGGAACGTGTGGAGCCTGCAGTCAGAAGTTTGGGGCTCAAGACAAGGACAGGGGCAGCAAAGTTTCTGGTGTGGGTTTTTGACATGAGTTTTGATTTGCGTGGATTCCCTGCAGGATGCTCCAGAGGGACACGTCCTTCTAGTTCAGCCTGCAAAGGATGATGCTTCCAACATCTGCTTGAAGTGTTTCTACGTCAAAAGAGGCTCCTTCAACAAACTCAAGATCATGGATTTGTTAGCAGTGTTGTTCCTGGTTCCAACGCTGCAGGACAAGCTCCTTGCTTGCGTTAATAATTGGTCGTTTGCTTAGTGTAGGAGTAAAGACGATGACGATGATGATCACGGTAGGGTTTAGGGTTTAGGCTTTACGGCCTCAATCCTTAACCCTAAACCGACCCTAAGCCTAAACCCTAAACACTGAGGGTTTTCAGACAGATTACAGATTTATTAGATGCAAGGGAAGGGGTAAGATGGGATGAAGCCCACTCAGGTTCGCCAATCTTCGTCGCAATCATGTGCGGGTTATTTGCGCCAATCCGAAGGCCAGACCGCGCCATGAATCTATCGACGTCAAGATGTACACAGAGAAGAAAACGTCCAAGTATGTGGACTTCCAGCAGGCGCGAGTTCATAGGGATTCGGGATTCGCTACATGTCGCCTGTGGCACTGACATTGTTATTGCGTGACGCTGCGTAATTTTGTAGATCTTGCGGCGCGGCTTGCGCAGGAGGGCGATTGGCTGAGCGTTGACGAATATTTTTTCCAGAAAGCGCCAGCAGACGCGAAGAAGAAGTACAAGACATCTGCTGCCAAGAAGAATTGGATTCAAAAGGCTGCTGCGTGAAATTTTCAGATACATGTTATATTTTATTTGTTACATTTACATTAATGCTACTACCGTTCTACTGTTTCATTGTGCGGACTCAGCCCGAACCCTAAAAATCGCCCTAACACTAAAATCGGCTGGACCGGATTTCCTTTTGAAGCTGAGGCTGGACTTCTGCTGCAAAGAGAGCCTTGTTTGGACTTCAGCTGTCTCAGTTGCGTTTGCTTGAGATATACTAAAGTCTAAAGTTACGAGAATGCGTTGGTTTTGTCCTGCTGTGCTTTGGGCAGGACGAACGAGGCGTGGAAGGGGTAGTCATCTTGCCTGAAACTTCGAGGAAGAAGGTTCTTGTCGGCACTCGAATGAGTGTTGACAAGTTGAAGCGGGACGAACACGAGTCAGGCCAGCAAATGGAAGCTGCCTTCCAGCGCGATGGCCTCAAGATTGAGATGGACACGAACACGAAGGCGGGGTTTAGGGTTTAAAGCGGCGGGGCTTTGGGTCACATAGAAAATTATCAGATCCTAGTCCTAATCATTTTTGAGCGACTCTGCAAGGATTTGTTTTCAATTCACTCATTGACCTTGCGATATTCCATCCCCTCAGTAGATCTAATTTCAATGGCAGGCAGAGGAATTGCGAGCTCTGGGCGAAATCAAGGAGGAAGAGGCCAGCGACGACGAGGAGATGCCAGAGGAAGCATCCGACAACGATGATGTTGATGATGCAAATTTTGGCACCCAGAGGGGCGAGGCCTCTGCTAGCAGCAAAGCCAGCGCCAAAGCAGTAAGGTGAAGAAGGAAGCTTCAAAACCGGCGCGCAAGGAGGCTTCTGCAGCCAAAGCTGGCAAGACTGCAGACAACGGCCATACCCGGCTAGCCGCGTTGAATGCCATCACGCACATGCAGCTGTGGAATGGCAGTGTGAAGATGAAAGACGTTGAAGCAAAGCTTTCCAGAGCTTTGGAAGTTTGCGCGTCACTGGAGAGTTCCAAGACTTGAGGCACAGGATCAACGAGCTGCAGTCAGCAATGACAACAATGCAGGCAATTCGAGAGCAATTCGTTGGCCACAAGATCTTCGAAATGAGCCAGGAGATCCTGGACACCGCTTTAACGTTCTCGCCAGAGTGTTTGGCTGCCATCCTGCATGACGTTGGCAACAAAATCATCCAGGCGGAGTCAGTGTGTGTTCACAAGGGTGTGAATGCCCCTCAACCCGAAACGATAAGCCCTAAACCTAAACCCTTAGCCTCTAGCGTACCCCTGAACTAAGCTGTTTTGTCACAGTAGTCCATAAGGAGTTACATGGTGAGTAGCGTCCAGTGTTCCAGTAGTCTAGTCACATCACATGAGACAGAGACAGTTTTTTTTTTCACAATTTAGTGGCTGCGTTTGTATGATATTTTTCAATGGCAGGAACAAGCCGAAATTGCAAATGTCACCGCAGCCTTCTTCATGTTCCTCAGCCTTGAGGATTTTGAGCAGAAAGGCCTATGCCTTGTGAGCGCGAATGTGACCAGCACTGGGATCTCTCAAGATGATTTTACTCGTATCCAGGGAAACTTGTTTAACAGCTGGCTGGGTTACATGAAATCTGCCAATGACGTGGAGACGGTGCTGAATGACATCCCCAAGGAATTGTGGAACCCTTCGTTAGCAAGGCCAGGCAAGCTTCAAAAAAGTTGCTACCGTGAGAGATTGCTGGTTTCCGTCTTAGAAAGGCCTTTTTTCCACACTGAGACTGTGGGCTCCCAAGCGCCATCATTTTGCGTGCCATATTTATAGTTCTTATTTTGTTTCCTTTGAGTCTGAAAATGGAAGTTTGTCAGGGGGCTCGCAAGGTGGGCTATAAAGGGTCCCGATTGTAGAGTTGGTTAAGTTTGGGCTTACTCCCAATACCGCCCGTAAAGTATACCGTTCCTGTTACCTGTTCCTTTACCTCGCTTTTTTGGGCCATGTGAATTTCAGTTTGCGTTGCAGCTTGCGTTTCAATCAGGTCCTTTGGCAAGGACCCCAGCGCAACTGCGCTGGACTTGCCCCTGCAAGAAGAAGAGGAACAAGATCCGCCGCTAAAGCGGACCGGTCTGACGCATCGCATCCTGGTGGATGTGCAGCGCTTCTTGGCGTGTGCCCACGTGACGTCCAAGGTGAGTGATGACGAGGTCACGAGCAACCCAACCTTGCTGAGTGAGCTTCAGACATCAGTGACACTGCCAGTGTCAGCGCGGGTGAATTTGATGTTCCGAGGCGCTGGGCCTTTGAGGACAAGTGTCTGATTCCATGATCCACTTGCGCTGGCTGCAAAATATAATCTTCAGAGCCTCAAACGTAGTTCGGGAAGAGAATCCGGTTGTCGCAATATCAATTATCCGTTGGGAGTTGGGAGGGAAGAGAATACTACTGATTGGACCCTTTTGTTTTGTTGGCTGCTTTGAGGAACCTCTGGCAGCGCGTGATTCTGATGTCCAAGCGAGTGGTTGATCAGCAAGGCTTGATGCAGCAGGCAGCGAGCCTGCAATCTCAGTTGGCGGCTTTGCGCAGTTTCATATCTTCCACTGAGGAAGGCACTGACGCTGCCTCCATCCGCAAAGCGGTGAGAGCATGCAGTAGGTGTCAAGACGTGTTGTCCGCGTGTAAGGCTTCAGAAGACCCCACAGCAGGAAAGCACGTTGAAGACGGGTCTTCCGCGGTAGATCAGCTTAAAGGTATGCTGGGCGGCTTGGCCTTTGTGCAAATCAGCGCAAGACTTGCAGAGGCCCTCAAGAGTTTGTTTGCTGATTCCCTGACAAGCTTTCCGCCTGACGTGGAGACGTTGCTTGGTCACGTGATGGTTGCAGGCCTGTACCCCCAAGTTTTTCCGAGTTGAGTTCCTCAATTAACTAGTCACCTTGCCTTGCCTGCCAGTTGTCATCTGCGCCTTTGAGTCACTTGAATCACTTGAATTTGCAGGTCACGTTGAAGCAGCAGTTTTCCAGAACAACAAGGACGAGAACGACTTGATGTCTGACATTGCTGGAGGCTTGCTGCAGTATGTGCAGGCCCCCCCGGTGAAGAGTGGCAAGGGTGTGGCCGATGAGGCCATGCTGAAGGCGTGCGCCACTTTGCATGGCTGCTTGGAGCGCTGCGCATCCCAGTGCAACTACACTTTAGGGCTGGACGAGGACGTGCCTAGCAAGGAGTGGATGCAAGAGTGCATCGCGACTACAAAGCGGTTCAGCGAGATCTTCTTTGGCCATGTCGAGAACATCGTTGAGGAGTTGCTACGCACGAAAGGGGCCACAGAGGCGGCCAAGTTCTTCCACCCTTTGGAGAACAAAATGCCTACCCACCTTCAGCAGTGCCAGGCAAGAGTCAGGCAGGGCGAACTTTTGGAGAAGGCCGATGCTGGGTCGCTGACCTCCAGGGACGAGGACAAGGCCAAGCACTACCAGGAGTTGACAACGAGTGCCAAAAAGTTGACAACGATTTGGGCACTAAACGAGACTCTCCTCCAGAAGTTCATGCCAAGTGCGACGCAGCTCCGCATGGACTTTGAGAAGACAACCCGGGCAGCTATCACCCAGGCCATCGAGGAGACCAAGAGCGAGCGCAAACGCGGCACAAAGATTCTTACAAAGTACAGGCCTTGCTTTGTTGTCTGTCATTTTTTGCAGAGTGAATACAAGTGACAAGTACAGTACAAGAGTTACGAATCATGGCCAAGTTTTCGAATCATGGTACTGACAGTTGTATTGTACTGGTGCATTTCCCGCAGAAATCAATAAGCCCACTACTGCCACTACTAGCTTAATCTGCAATACTGTAATACTAATACTGTAATACTAATACTGTAATACTGACACTGTAACAACAACAACAACACCTACTACTACTACTACTACTAGTAGTGGTTAAGGTTTAGGGTTTCGGTATTTCGGTATGGTATTTATCTATATAGGGTTGCCTTGTGGAGGCCCATCATCTCAGCCGGCGTGGGTGTTGAGTCCGGTTGAGTGGATGCTGAGTGGCGGCTCGGATGTGGACACCGACGTGAAGCGTATGGTGACGGCTCGCTCTGACACCGACCACTACCTGCAGTTCTCACGCGCCGTGTCTGGTTGGTTCAAGGGTGCCAGCAAGACTGAAGAACGTGAGAGCTTGGCCGACGACACCCACAAGACCATGCTGGCAGCGCAGGACCCATCAAATCTAGTATCATGTCAGGGGAGTGCTCAAGGACTTCGGTGTTCAATAGGTCGTAGCAAAGCAAAGGTTGGAAACTTATGACTCATCCCGTATCCCATGCGCCGGACCCATAGAATGGCGCCACTCATAGCCCATTAACCCGTGACCCATGCCCATAACTCCCCAAACCTTTCTCAGGAGATGCGTGCTGAAGTGTCCCAAGTGGTTGGGACCCTCATGGTGACATCAATGGTCTACCAGTCTAGCTCCACCCAGCTTGCCTCAGCAAGAAAGCTGGGCACTTACTTCACCACCATGCTGGGCATCATCCCGAAGGATCTCTCGAGCGCTGTGTACACCAAATTCCAAGCACACGGAAGCGCTGCTGCTGTCAAGTGCTTTGCCAACGACAAAGCAGCATTTGGGGTTTCAGACTGGAAGTTAAACAGAGCTTCCCTGACTAGAGTAGGGTTGTATAGGCATAGGGCGGCATAGGTCATGTAGGGATTGTTTCAGGGTTCAGCTTACGAAAAAAATAATCGGATTACCGGATTTTTAGCGTTTAGGTTTTGGGTTATTTCAAGTTGTTTGGGATTCACAGGCTCTGGGGCTTTTGAGTCGAGGGTTTATGGTTTACTTTATTTGGGTTTAGGGTTGAGGGTTGAGTTGAGAGCAGAGCTCTCCGAACACAGCAGGGGCGCGCATCCTTGTAGAAGCGTGCGAATCTTTAGGCAACACTACACCTTCATGTAGTGAATGGGGCTGTATTGGGGCAACACGGTTTCACCCGAAATTTACTGGGGCAGCCTCCGGACCTCCGGAAGCCCTTGCCCTTGCAATAGAAGTGGTTCGTACAGGATACTTGGAGGTTCATGGGCAGTTTGCACCAACAAGTAGCCGGGCAGTAAAAGTAACCAGTAATATGCTGCGCTACCCATGAACCTCCAAGTAGGGGCCAGGGGTTCAGTAAATGCCAGGAACCATGTGATGAGCAGATGCCTTTTCGAAACAGCAACAAACAAAGGACCCCACATTTTGCGATGATTTCAAGCTCTCTTCGTACCCCCATAGACTGTAGGTAGGATTCCTATTCCTATTTGGGTCAATCTGAGCCAATCTCCTTAACTACTAGTCCCTACCACCCCACCTCGACTATGTAGCTAGGCTCTTAGGCTTCTTGTCCCACTAAACCTTCAAACCCTAAACCGAGCCCTAAACTAAGCCCCCTAAACTGCCCTAAACCCTACGCCCTAATTCCCGCCAAGGAAGCGAGCCCAAGATGAGGGCGCAGAGCCGAAGCGC